AGTTGCGGGGATTCGATTCGGGGGCGACCGGGGCCCAGGCCGAGGGCGGGGGGGACCCCCGTGGCCGCCACGTCCAAGGTTTTGTCCAGGAGCGTAAGGCCACGCCGGTCGGAGCTGAGGTACGGCGGTTGAGATGTCGGGAACATCCGGGCCAGACCTCCTGTAGACCACGGAGGCCCGGGATCCCGGTCGGATTCAGAGGTCGAGGTGTTGATCGCAGAAAGGACGGGCGTCGGGTCGGAGGTCGCGGCTGCAGAGGCGGGACTCCCCTCAGGTCCAGACTCCGAGTAGAAGTGTTTCATCCCAGGAGGAGGATCTTCACCGTCGGACTCCGAGTCTTCCAAGTCTAACACCACATCCGCCGTATGTGCCTTAGCGCCCTCTGCAGGACCAGGAGACTCTGCAGCACAGATGGAGCCTGAATGTTCCGTGAGTCCAAGAGCGTCCTGATGCCAGGACCTCAGGTCTGAGGCAGGTCGGGTCAACCCCGATGGTCCTTCTTCACCGTCGTCCTCCTCAGATGGACCTTCACAAGGGGAGAGACGGTGAAACGGTCAGAGTCGGTACAAAGATCTGGACCTGAGCTTTAGTTCATGGAATAAATAAAACCACAGGAAACTACAGATTTTTGTACCTTCTTCTCGGAGAAGCGGTTGGTTTGCAGCTTCCTGGTCGTCCTCTTCTTCTTCCTCCGTGGTCTCGACCTCCTCTTTGATCAGAACAACCTTCTGCTCCACCACCGTGTCGTCGGTGGCAGCTGGAGCTGCTGTCGTTTCCTTCACATCGAAGACGGACTCTGACGAGGAAAACGCAGCGAGTTGTTTGGACGATCTCTGAGGTTTCACCTCAAAAATGTCCACACACTTTGGAAGTTAAAGAACAACTACTTCAAACTAACCCTGTCTTTTGTTTCAACAGACTGGACTGGTCAAACCACAGGTCAAAAGGTCACAGCCTCCCCCCTCCCCGGACGGTGTAGAATGTTCCAGAAACTCACCTGCACTGAAGTCCCCCGCCCCCCCGCTGGCCTCCCTCAGGGTGGCGCTCCTCCCGACCTGCAGGTCCCGCCGGTACAGCATGTCTTCCGCGGTCCGCAGCTTGGACCTCAGCGCCTCGTTCTCGCTGTGGCTGCGGGAAATCTCCAGCTGCAGCACGGCGTAACTCTCCTCCACCAGCCCGCAGACCTCCGCCACCGCCGCCTTGGCCAAAGCCTCCATGATGGAGGACAGCTGCGCCTGGAACGCCCGGTACATGGTCGTGAACGGGCGGCAAAGGACGACAAAGTTACCGGGACGTGGACTCACACGGACATCGGTTAGAGGAGGGGGG